CCAGGATTGGAGCCACGGAGAGGGAATTCCAAGGGCAGCAAATCCCAAAGCATCCCGGCTTGAGCACATGATTCCAGGAGTTCTCCCTTCCAGAGTGGGATTCTGCCTCCCAGCAGTGGGATTTTTCCCTTCCAGCAGTGGGATTCTCCCTTCCAGCACTGAGATTTTTCCCTCCCAGAGTGGGATTATCCCTTCCACCAGTGGGATTTGGGATAAACCCCCCCCATGGATTTTGTGCTGCCGGTTTTATTCCAACACTTTAATGATCCCAAACTCATCTTGTGGGATGACTCCCTTAAGAGGCTTTACCTTCAAATATCGGGAATATTCTCCCATTATCCTCCCCTTTCTTATTTTCCTGCTGATTCTGGACTTAAGAGCTTTAATTTCTAATTACAAGGCTCCGAAATGTTTGATTTTTGGGCTCGGGAAGCACAAGGAATCCGCTGCTTTTCCCAGGGGAATCCTTCCAAAATCCTGCCTCTTCCAGCCCTCTGGTGGTGGGGACACGGAGGAGACTCGCTCCGAGAAATTCCAGTGGTCAACCAGACAGCAGGAATATTTTGAGGCCTAAAATCCAATTATTTTGGGGCTAAAATCCAATTATTTTGGGGCCTAAAACACAATTATTTTGGGGCCTAAAATCCAATTATTTTGGGGCCTAAAATCCGATTATTTTGGATTCTACAGCCCAATTATTTTGGATTTTAAACACAATTATTTTGGATTTTACATCCCAATTATTTTGGATTCTACATCCCAATTATTTTGGAATTTCCATCCCAATTATTTTGGATTCTAAATCCCAATTATTTAGGATTCTACAGCCCAATTATTTTGGATTCTAAACAGAATTATTTTGGATTTTGGAGCACAATCATTTTGGAGGAGTGAAGCCCAGAACAAATCCCTATTTTCAGGCAAGGCTCTGCTTCCATGGAGTCAAATAATACAATATATTATATTATTATATATATTATATATACTATTATATTATTATATAATATATTATTATATTTCTTACATAAATCCCCTCTCAGCCTCTTCTTCAGGATAACCAGGCCCAGCTCCCAAGCCAAAAAAAAGCCCAATAAACCGATTTCCAAGGGAAAATCCCCCCCTTCCCAGGACATTTCCAGGAGCTCCACTCACGGCCTCATAGCACCAATCCTTGAGGATCTCCAGCTCCCCGGATATCAGAGCCTGGGAAGAGGGAATAAAACAGGGACATTTTAGCACAGGGTGGAAATAAGCAGCAATTCCAGCAGCAAAACACCCTAAATCCAAGGAAAACAGGAGTTTCAAAGAGGAGCAGGAATAAGGACTTCAAAAAACACGCATGAACTGAGTCCAATAAATCCAATAAATTTCCAGGATGAAGCTCCTAAACCTTCCTGGTAAACTTTCCTGTTGAATTTCCCGTTAAAATTTCCAAAAAAGTCCCCAGAATTCCCATTCCTGGGGAATCCTGAGGGGTGGGATCGAAGAGAAGCAGGAGGGACACACCAAGAGTCAGATCAGGAAGTTTTCAAGGCTCTGAAAAATTCAGGGCCTGGAATGACCAGATTCCACTGGAAACTCCTGGGAAAGGTTTGCCTTTGAGAAACCCCTGGAATTCTGGACAAACCCCCTGGAATTCCTGACAAAACCCCTGGAATTCCTGACAAAACCCCTGGAATTCCTGACAAAACACCCGCTGGGTCTGTTTTTGGCAGACACCAAAAATCAAGTTAGCTCAGGGTGGGAAGGGTGGTTTTTAATCCAATGCTTTATAAATTGTAAACTGGCAGGAAAAATTCCTTCTCCAAGAGTCAGGAGCAGGTTTTTCCCAACTTTTCCCTGGCACTGAGAGGAAGAGCAGATTCCCAGAGAACTCCCTCTTGTCCCTGAGCCATCACATCCCAGGAAGTCAGGGACAAAGCCCACTTGGGATCAGTTTTTATTCCTCAGATCAGTTTTTATTCCCCAGATCAGTTTTTATTCCCCAAATCAGTTTTTATTCCCCAGATCAGTTTTTATTCCCCAGATCAGTTTTTATTCCTTAGTTTTTATTCCTCAGATCAGTTTTTATTCCCCAGATCAGTTTTTATTCCCCAGATCAGTTTTTATTCCTTAGTTTTTATTCCTCAAATCAGTTTTTAT